AACTTAATGAGATCCTGTTTCAAAACTTAAAAAGGACTGGGGATGTAGCTCAGCAATAGAGCACCACTGGTTTCAATCCCTGGCACCAAAATTTTAAAAAAAAAAAAAAAATGGAAGGCCTTAGAACTACAGCCTCACTCTGTTATTTAATAGAATTTGATATCCAGCAAGTTTCTTTCTGCACCTGTTTTCTTGTCTGTAAAATGGAAGCAAAAAGCCTATTTAATGGAGTTATCSTAAAGATTAAGTCCATCCATGCAAAGCACTTAGAACCCCTCAGTAAATGATGGTACGGAAAATCCTGTCCCCCAGGAGCTTACGAAAGGAAGGAAGAAAACWGGAGATTGCAGGGTGCCTACTGTGTTGCTGGCCCTGAGTGACAGGTTTCTAAGCACTGTCTCACACCCTCACAAGAATASGAGATACTGCGCTCACGTCAACAACACCTCTGTCCTGCTGCCAAGCAACCTGCACTCTGATGAGGAAGGCAGGCAGGAGACTGATGTTCCAGTGCCATGATAGGGCCACTGAGGGTGCATAACCCAGACGGGAAGAGCAACTCACCAGGGCTAACTGGGTATTGTGCAGGAGAAATGTCTACCAGGCAGAAAAGGAGAAGGCCCAACCAGGAGACCTGGGCGCAGTCGGGTAACTCAGTGTAGCTGGAGGCGCAGGGCCGTTGGGAAGGAGCCTGGTCGTTAGGGATCTCGTGTAGGTTGTACTAAGGGTTGGGATTTTTTTTTATTTTCCCCTGTGATTTTAGCTCCTAGATGGTAGAGACTAAACCCACCAGGGCCCGGGAGAGGACCTCTAGTGAAGCTGTCACATAAAAGGCAGGAAGGACCTGACAGCAGGAAAGAGTCGTGGCAGACGCCAAGGCAAGAGTTGGTTGCCACAGGAAGGTTTGATCAGCAGCACGACCGGCACAGGAGAGAAGAATGAATTTAAGAATGTGTTTTAACTGAATAACGAGGAAGCTTTTAAGGACTGTTAAAATTTTTGAGGGGTGGTTCACAAAGGCCAATAACAAGAGGTTGAAAGTATGACTAAAAGAAATGGAAGCAGAGTACTTTGATCTARAAGTTTATTGGTGAGAAGAAGATGGAGGATACTCTGTGTAGCTGGAGAGATGCGTGGACGGGAAGGAAGGTCCTGTTAGAACCAGGAGCTAACCCCTGTACCCACTGGTCACAAGCTGAAGCACCGTCAAGCATCTGTGAGTGCCGCGAAGGTCAGGTGATGGGACTTGAAGTGGATCCAGTCCCCAGAGTTCTATAGGCTGGAATTGGGGATCAGAGAAGAAGAAAATGTGTTCAAGTCCCCAGGGTTTAGGACTGAGAATGTAGTCCTGGGGACACTCATTGCAGTGGTGGCCCATTGGTCTAGGCTAAGAATCAAAGTAGGGACACCAAGGCAGAAGGGAGAGCAAAGGGCACATTCACTGAACAGCCACAGCCTTCCACTGGGAAATCTGAGATGGCAGAAACCTCAAAGATGATCAGTTGTAAACCAAACCTTCACCAGGGGTGCTGGTTATGGAGCAGAGTTGTAAAAGTCACTGGAGGAGAGAAAACTCAAGGAACCAAGAGGGTGGCTGGGAGTAGAGTGTTGATTTTCATTAGTGCACCACTAGATGGCGCCTAGGCACTCAGTAAAGAAGAATGAATGAATGAATGAATGAATGAATGAATGAGTGAGTGAAATGGTGTAGCCTCATGGAAACTGAAGCCATCGAGGGTCATACCGAATTATACAGAAGACATTGCAAAGGTTACAGTAGAAGTGGGGCAAGGGAGGGACAGCACCACAGTAATGAAGAGACAAAAATTAAGTCACCCCAGGATCCTGAAGAACTTGGGTCTGAAGAGGAAGCCYGGGAGAGTCAGTAACAGCCATCAATCCATCCTGGGGTCGGACAGAGGGCAATGGGAAATTCCTTCATTGATCTCCTATCATCTGTGTCTTTTAAAAATTCCCTATACCCAAGGATTTGGGAGGATTTCTGAAGAATTTCTAGTTCAGTTCACTGAGATTTTAATACTCTTAAATGAAAGGAAGTCAAGAAAAAGGAAACAGGTGTGGGGAGCGGGGGAATGAGCTGGATGAAGCTCACTAATGAAGAATTCCCAGGCTGGGGCAAAGGGTGCGGCTCAGAGGTAGAGCACTCACGTGAGGCCCTGGGTTCCCGCCAGAACCTCAGAACAAAGCAAACCAAAGCCCTCCTCAGTTGCTTCCCCAGATAAGACCATGTCCACAGTGATACCCAGAATAAGAACACCCAGCAAGAGGGATGAGTGGAAGACAGAGCTTCCAGGACAGCAGCAGGAGAGACATGGTGACAGCAGACGAGGCCTTTCCAGTTTAGCAGCTCTGGGATCAGGGACAGACCCCTGCTCCTCCAAAGCTCACTGGGTCTCTAGCAGCTGTKGAAAAACATAGATCTCTGAAAAGCTAGTTGCCCATCGCCAGCTCCAGGGACCACGGCCTTAGAATATTTGGTATTTCTTGGGAGGTATAATACCAGTAGAGTCCCTTAGAACCACAGGTACTTCTTAAAACACTGTTTTATTTATTGCCTGCATTTTCTTCTACTAGCTGGCCTTAGTAAACAAATTGCCAAGTGCCTTGCAAATGTACCACATTCAGGTCACATGACCGTGCCCTGTCACTGGACACTGAAGAAGGACTGCTCACCACAAGGTGAATTGGCTTCTTTTTTTTCATAATCATCTGTTTCTTCTGGGATGGTTGGATTGTATGAACTATGGGCRGTTTTCTACAAAGGTCACTATTTTACTGAGTCTTACAAGTGTCTACCAGGTACAGTTTTGTAACTCTTAAGTGGCTTTGAAGGCCGTAATTGCCAAAAGGAAACCTGTGGCCAACAGTCTCCAAGCCCTGGAACTGAAGAATCTCTTTGGAGATCTGAAAGCTCAGTGTTAGCAACAGAATAGGAAAGGCCATAATC